TTTTTTTTAATGTTTTATTTATTTCTAGGAGAGAGAGAGACAGCATGAGCAGGGGAGGGTCAGAGAGAGAGGGAGTCACAGACTGAAACAGGCTCCAGGCTCTGAGCTGGCAGTCAGCACAGAGCCCGACGCGGGGCTCGAACTCACGAACCGCGAGATCATGACCCAAGCGAAAGTCGGACGCTTAACCGACTAAGCCACCCAGGCGCCCCTATTCCAAAGTTTTCAAACCATTGTGTTTCCATTTTCATTTGTCTCTAAGTATTTTTTACTTTCCTCTTTGATTTCTTCATTTACCCATTGCTTATTTAATAACGTGTAGCTTCTATATGTTTGTGGGATAGTGGTGGTTTTTTTTCCCCTTCAGATTTTCTCTTGTAATTGCTTTCTAATTTCATATTGTTGTTGGAAAAAATGCTTGATATATATGAGTCTTTTAAAGTTGAGACTTGTTTTGTGGCCTAGCAGTTGATCTCATCTGGAGACTGTTCCATGTACACTTGAAAAGAATGTGTATTCTTTTTTGGGATGAAACGCTCAGTATTTATGTGTTAAATCCCATCTACCTAATAATAATAAGGCCACTGGTTCTTTATTGACTTAAAACTTGGATGCTCTATCCATTGATGTGAATGAGATGTTAAAGTCCACTATTATTACTATTTTACTGTCAATTTCTCCCTTTATGTCTGTTAATATTTGTTTTATGTTTTTAGGTACACGTGTGTTGGGCGCATAGATATTTACAATTGGTATACCCTCCCTTTATCATTATATAATGCCCTTCTTTGTCTTTTGTTACAGTCTATGTTTTAAAGTCTATTTTGTCTGATATAAGTATTTCTACCCCAGCTTTTTTTTTCAATTCCATTTGCATGGAGTATCTTTTTCTCTCCCTCCACTTTTAGTCTGTATGTACCTTTAGGTCTGAATCTGAAGTGAAGGAAGCTCTTATAGGAGCATATAGACAGGTCGGTTTTTCTTTTTTAATCCATTCAGTCACCTTTTGTCTTTTTATTGGAGTAGTCTATTTACATTTATAGTAATGATAGGTATGTATTTATTGCCATTACATTAATTGTTTTTGGTTGTTTTTGTAGTTCTTTTCTTTTTCTCTTGCTCTCTTCCCCATGATTTGATGACTTTCTTTAGTGTTATGCTTGGGTTCATTTCTTTATATTTTTTGTGGTTTGTGGTTATCATGAAGTTCATATATAACATCCTACATATTTAGCAATCTCTATTAAGTTAATGGTTGCTTAGGTTTACATATCCTAAGTGCACTACCGTTTTACTTTTTCCTCCTACATATTGTCTGTGACATCATTTTATATTATGTATTTTGTGTATCCTTTGACTAGTTTTTGTAGACGTAATTGATTTTACTCTTGTTTTTTTAACCTTCATACTAATTTTATGTGTGATTGATCTATTGCATTTACTATATGTTTGCTTTAATAGTAAAATTTTTTCCATAATTTCCTTCTAGTTATGGTTATTTCTTTTCTGCTTAAAGATATCCCTGGGGCGCCTGGGTGGCTTAGTCGGTTAAGCATCCGACTTTCGCTTAGGTCATGATCTCGCGGTTCGTGGGTTCGAGCCCCGCGTTGGGCTCTGTGCTGACTGCCAGCTCAGAGTCTGGAGCCTGTTTCAGTCTGTGACTCGCTCTCTCTCTGACCCTCCCCTGCTCACGCTGTCTCTCTTTCTCTCTCCTAGAAATAAAAAAAAAGTTTATTGCTAAAAAATGCTAATCTTCATCTAAGCCTTCAGCAGGTCATCTTTTNGTTGGGCTCTGTGCTGACTGCCAGCTCAGAGCCTGGAGCCTGTTTCAGTCTGTGACTCCCTCTCTGACCCTCCCCTGCTCACGCTATCTCTCTCTCTCCTAGAAATAAATAAAATATTTAAAAAAAAAAAAAAAAGATATCCCTTTAACCTTGTAAAGTAGTTTAGTGATGATGAACAACTTTAACTTGTGTTTCTCTGGGAAACTTTTTAGCTCTCCTTCAATTTTGAATGCTTATCTTGCCTGGTAGAGTATTCTTGATAGTGGGTTTTTTCTTTCCAGCACTTTGAATGTATCATACTTTCTCTTCTGGCCTGAAAAATTAGCTGAGAGCCTTATGTGGTTTCCCCATCATGTAACTATTTGCTTTTCTTCTGTTGCTTTAAGATTCTCACTTTATCTTTAACCTTTGATATTTTATTTGTTACATGTCTTGGTGTGGACCTTTCTGAGTTAATCTTGTTTGGGGCTCTCTGTGCTGCTGGATCTGTATGTCTGTTTCCTTTGCCCAAGTTAGGGAAGTTTTCAGTCATTATTTCTTCAAATAAATTATTTGCCCCTTTCTTGTCCTTCTGGAACCCCTATAATGTAAATGTTAGTATGGGTGATGTTGTCCTAGAGTTCCTTTAAGCTGTGTTTTGTTGTTATTGTTGTTATTGTTGCTGTTGTTGTTCACCTTGGGTACTTTGCACTAATATATCTACCAGATCGTTCATCCATTCTTCTGCATCCTCTAATCTGCTGTTGATTCCCTCTAATGTATTTTTCATTTCACTTACTGTATTCAGCTCTGATTGGTTCTTTTTTAATTTACTGTCTCTATGTTGAAGTTGTTGCTTTGTTCATCTATTCTTTGTTCGTGTCTGGTGAGCCTCTTTATGACCATTACTTTGAGCTCTTCATTGGGTAAATTGTTTATCTCCATTTCATTTAGTTCTTTTTCTGAGGTTTTGTCTTGTTCCATTGTTTGGAATATATCTCACTGTGCCCTCCTTTTTCTGGCTCTTACTGTTTCTATGTATTGGGTAGGGCAGCTACTTCCCCTGACCTTGAAAGTAAGTGGTCTTATGTAAAGGTGTCTTATGAGGCCCAATAGCATACTTACCTCTAGTCACTAGAACTAGAACTAGAACTAGGTGCTCCAGAGGTATCCCTTCTGTAGATTGTGTGTGCACCCTCTTGTTGTGACTAAGCCATGACTTCTGTGGGATGCACTGATGAGCAGGCTGGCTTAGGCCTGGCTGTAGCTACTGCAGGCTTGCTGATAGGTGAGGTTAACTCTTGGGACACAGGCTGAGAGGTCCAGCTACAACTGCTGTGAATGTGCTTGTAGGCAGAGCACTGTCCCTGTAAGATTGCTTACTGGTTGTGGCATTGTGGGAGTTGCTTTGGTGATACACATGGGGTTTGGCTGCTTGATTGAGGTGCCTCTGCAGGGAAATGCCAGCGTAGCATGAGCATTGCTAGTAAGGTTGATAGATAATGCTGAAACTGGCACCTGCAAGTGTCCAGTCATCTGGGCTGAAGAAGAACAAGCAAAATGGTACTGGAAAACACCATTTATTCTTTTATTCTATACATCCCTGTCCCTTTCACACATGCGCTCAACTTAGTCAGTGAATCTCCTTCATAGGTGCTTTTCAAGGTGCTGTTTCTGTCCTGGGTCTTAGACTAAGTGATAAAACGCACTGATCCTTTAAAAGCAGAGCTTTTTTTTCTTATAGCCTCCAGCTTACCCAGAGTTAAGGCCTACTGATTTTCAAAGCTCTTGGAGTTAATCACTGTTGATTTTCAAAGTGAGGTATTATGGTAGCTTGTCATCTTGGTGTGGATCCCCAGAGCCAGGGGGCCTAACTTGATCCCCTCACTCCTCAGGGAAGGCTTCCATGCCTGTGATATCCCTCCCACTTTTAGATTGCCTGCCGGGAATTTGGTTCCTGACTGCATGTCTGCCCCTCATATCCTCTCAATGTGCCTTCTCTTTTATATTTTTATAAAGATTTGTTCTGGTAATCTTCAGATCATTTTCAGAGTGAGTTGCATTAAACATAGTTGTTGCCTTAGTGCCCAAGGAAGGAGGTGAGCTCAGCATCCTCTTAGCCATCTTCCCCTGCTCCCAAGTTTTGGTTACTGTTTATTGTACATTTTGAAACATTAATTTATTTTAACCAAACCATAAGTTGATATAAATTAGTATTGTTTATAGCAAAGGTCATGAAGAATTTATAAAATTTAATTTCAGTACTTCTGTTTTTATCTCCTTTAGATCGTGTAACAAAGAAAACTGAAGAGTCAGAATCACACCTGGAGTCCGAAATTAAAAGGAAAGTACCACAGAAACGTCATAGTAGCACATATCAGTCTCCATCTCCTCTGTCTCCTGCTTCAAAAAAATGTTTAACTGATTTAGAGGTGGGTAGAGAAATTATTCCTTGTTGCTAATCAGTTGGTATTTTTATCAGTATTACATTTAGTACTTATCAAATTCTAGGTGATCTTTTCTTATAGTACTAGAAAAGATGTAGAAAAGTTTTTCTTTATTTTTTTAATGTTTATTTTGTGAGAGAGTGAGTGTGAGTGGAGGAGGGGGAGAGAGAGAGAGAGAGAGAGAGAGAGAGAGAGAGAATCTCAAGCAGGCTCTCCCTGTCAGCATGGAGCCCAACATGGGGCTCAATCCCAAGAACTATGAGATAATGACCAACCTGAGAAGAAATTGAGAGTTGAATGCTTAAACTACTGAGCCACCCAAGAGTCCCTAGAAAAGTTTTTTTTAAATGTGTATTTATTTTTGAGAGAGAGAGAATGCGAGTAGGGGAGGGGCAGAGAGAGAGAGGGAGGGAGGGAGGGAGGAATGGAGCATCTGAAGCAGGCTCTTTGACAGAAGACAGCCAGACACAGGGCTCAATCTCATAAACCATGAGCTCATGACCTGATCCGAAGTCAGATAGATGCTTAACTGTCTGAGCCACCCAGGACCCTCCACTAGAAAAGTTTTTTAAGCACTTTTCTGCCCTTATTATGCCATTTTTTTCCATCATCCAAAATGTAGAACATGTGACAAGAATTATTGCCTTTCTACAACATACTGTAAATAATAACTCTCAGCCAGAAATATTTTGAAATTATTTTAAATTTACAAAATGTTGAAAAAATAATAAAAAAAAGCTTACATATACCTTCTATTAGATTCCTGGTTTCCCCATTTGATATATTGTTCTCTCTCTGCCTTCTTCCACTGTCCCTCTCTATATGTGTTTATCTGCATTATTTGAGTTTAAGTAACAAATATGATGCCCATTTATCACTAAATATTTTAGTGCACATTTCCTTGGAAAAGGCAGGGGAGGAGGCAGAGAATAGGGCACTTCGTATAAAACCAGAGTGCAGTTATCAAAATTTAAAAATTAACATGTATCCATAATTATTGTCTGCTTCACAAACTCCATTCAAATTTCACCTAATCAATGTTCTTCATTGGAATGGGATCGAATTCAGGATTGTGTTATATTTCATTTTTGTGATCTTTAGTCTTCCTTAATCTGAAATAATTCCTTAGTCCTCCCTTGTCTTTCATTCATTTGATATTTGTGAGGAGTATAATGTTTCTTGATGATTTATGCATTTTTAAAAAATCCTCTCAAGTGATTCTATAATCTTACTGCATCATATCAGAATGCATACAATTTTCACATTATAACTTTTATCTTAATATGTACTTTCTTAGATTTGTCCACTGTAAAGTTATTTAGTGAGTATTTCTTATTTATTAATAAGATGAGCTGCTGTAAGGTAGAGTGCATATAAAGTATAATAAAAGGATGTACTATGCTAAGATAGAAATATTCCTTATATGTACTTAAATATTCCTTTTTATCAGTTCAGTATATAGATTTTTTTTAATTGAAGTATAGTAGACACAACATGGATTCTTACTTAAAAAAAAGTTATACTCTGTCACCGTCATTATTTTGATGCTCAGATTGTCTCAGTCTTGGCCCCTGGGACACTCTTTAAGCTGGCTCCTCTTTCTTTTTGACATAACCACATCATTCTTTGAATACTTCCTTAATTTTTGATGTAATCAGATGGCCTAGACCTCTTTGTATCTTCTATCTCAACTCTAGAGTCACATATTTCTCCAAGGAGCCATTGTTCCTATAAGTGGAGGGACTTTATTTGGGCATTAGTTATACTCATTGCTAATTGGCATCATGTTTATAGGCCCTTTCAGTGGATAAAACTAGTAAATACATGTGTGTTTATGCGTTAATATTTAGTACATGTTAAAATCCGTGAATTCACACTGATAGTTCCAATTCTAGTCTAATACTGCAGTGTTTGTCTTAGCCTTTCCCACTTTGCATATTTATAACTTCCTTCTCTGACTGGGAAACCTGTCTCACATCACCTATTGGTTCAGTTGCTTTTTATCTAGTCATTCTTCTGGTGTGCCAGCCTAAGGTTGGCCTAGCCTATACTGGCATTTCCTTGCTGCCTGGCCCACTGCTTGATCCAGGTAAAGAATGAAAAAGGACGCACCATCCTTCCCTCCCCTAGGCATGCCAGCTGAAAACCTCAGAATTTTTTAACATCTAAAATCTTTTACTCTTTACTTCATGCTAGTTGTTCTTATTCTGTTCTTAGTGAATATAAAGAATAGATCTAGCCACCCTCTATGTAATTTTTAAATCTTTAACAAGATTAGTGGGATTTTTTTCCCACATACAGTTTGTGAAATACTACAATATGTACTATTAACAAGGAAACACGGTCTTTGATATTTAATGAGATTATAGATATTCAGGATATTTACTAAAAATGACATCTCATTGGTATCTTATTAAGCTTACTTGGTTATTATTTATCTATAGAGTCTGACAGCATGTATTAGTGATTAGGATTTATTTTATTTTGTGATAGTTTGTGTACCAAAAGGGAGAAAGAGACTTTAATTAGTCTTTGTTTTCCAAAAGAAATTTTATCTAATATGAAATTATTATGGAAACGTACAACTTCATACACACTTTACTACAGGTAATTGGACAGTGTTAAGATTCTAGTTTTTAGCTTGCTAAGTTGATACATTTCTGAATCCCTAGTTTTTATCATGGAGAATTTAATATTATATTTGATTCAGCTAACCTGCATTTTGTTTTTAATTGTTGCAAATAGTTCCAAGGTATGTGTTTCTTAGCTGATGGAAGGCATATGATAATAGCTCACAGTATAGTTCATTCTACATTTCAATATCAGAAATTTTGATAGTATGTGCTTTCTCTGTTTAATATCAATTTTATAAAAGGAAATTTGTGTAAGTATCACCTTTTCATGGGGTTCTTTCCATTGAAATATGTCCTATTTATCTTTATTATAGGCAATGAAGAATTAGAGTCAGATTTCATGTGTAAGTTTATTTATTTTGAGAGAGAGAGAGCGAGCACACAAGAGTGCCCATGTGTAGGGGGCAGAGAGAAAGGGAGAGAAAAAGAATCTCAAGCAGGCTCTGCACTGTCAGCATGGAGCCAGATGCAGGGATCGAACTCACAAACCATGAAATCATGACTTGAGCTGAAATCAAAAGTCAAACACTTAACTGACTGAACCACCCAGGTGCCTCTATTGTTAGATTCTTAAAAGACAGGGGTAGCTTATATATAGTTGATTCTCACTGTGACAGATGGGGTTCTGTTTTCCACATAAATTAATGTCTTTAAACTTTTTTGGGGTTCACCATGATATTTTTTTAAACCTATGTAGAGATGGAAATACTTCCTTGCTCATTATGAAAATAGTGGGGTTTAGATTTTTCTTAGACGATTAGGTATTTTATCTCAGTGTGGTATGAATAGAAGGGCCCTGCTGTTTTGTTTATGAGTTTTCCTTTTAGGTGCATTGTGACATGGCCAAACATTTAAAGTTCATTAGGGAATAATTGCATTATTTTATTTAAATGTACAGTTGACCCTTGAACAACACAGGAGTTAGAAGTGCTGATTCCTGCACAGTTGAAAATCTGCATATAACTTTTAACTCTCCCAGAACATTATTCATATACGTATTTATTTTATTTAATTAACTTAATGTTGACCAGAAGCCTTACTAACAACACAGTTGATTATCACATACTTAGCATGTTATGTATTATATACTGTATTCTTTTTTTTTTTATTTTTTAAATATTTATTTTTGAGAGAGAGAAAGAGAGAGAGCTCAGGTGGAGTAAGGGCAGAGAGAAGGAGACACAGAATCCGAAGCAGGCTCCAGGCTCTGAGTTATCAGCACACAGTCTTCTGTAGGGCTTGAACCCACAAACTGTGAGATCCTGACCTGAGCCAAGGTCAGACGCTTTACCAGCTGAGCCACCCAGGTGCCTCTATATACTGTATTCTTACTATAAGATAAGCTAGAGAAAAGTACATGTTAAGAAAATCAAAAGGAAGATAAAATACATTTACAGACCTATGCTGTTCAAACCAGTGTTGCTCAAAGGTTAACTCTACTATTATTTCTTTCCCTTATTGACAATAGGGTAAAATTTGAGAGGTAGATAATCTGTCCCATGTTCGTGTCTAACCAGTTATTTCCATAGTTCACCTGTTAATTATGCATCCCAAATACACAGGGCACTATTAAAAGTGCTATGAGAAAAATAAATTCCTTATACCTAGATTCCAAAATCGTATAACAGAATTCTGCTATGTATTGGCAGAGAGACATGTTTTCTTCCTTCCTTCCTTCCTTCCTTCCTTCCTTCCTTCCTTCCTTCCTTCCTTCCTTCCTTCCTTCCTTTCTCTCTCTCTCTCTCTCTCTCTCTCTCCCCCTCCCTCCCTCCCTTCCTTGCTTCCTTTCTAATAATCTGCATATGCTGTGATAGTGAACTGATGTTCTTCTAAGTTCACCTTTGCCTTGGTTGAAGCTTGGTTTCATTCTTTGTTGTTACCTGGGGTAGATCCTTGAATAGACGACATGGTTTAATAGAATGGCTCTGTTGTGAGTCATGTAAGACAAGGTAAACAGTTTTTGTCAGTTTTCTCATCTTTAAAACAAGGAGATAAGACTAGAACAGTGATCTTTAGACGTTTCCTATGTATATTTAAGTTATAAATTTACATAGAATAAAATATGTAGAACTTAAGCTTTTAGTTCCATGAATTTTGAAATAGAGATTGGTTAAATTACTCTCCTCACACATGGACCTGGTAGGATCCAAATACTATATCACTTGGTGATTTCTATTTCTATTCGCTGTCAGAAGTATTTGTTCACTTATTTCCTATGATATAAGGGTCAAAGTGTTAAATTTATTTTTGATTGAGTTATTTGTTATTAACAGCATACTCTTGAATAAAACTGTATGTTATAAAGTTTGAAAAGTTATTTGACATAAAAAGTAAAATTATTGGAATTACAAGTTTTAATTAGAGACATTGATTGTTTTCTTCAGTTACTTCCTGTGTCTAAGAATAAATATTATGGTGCATACTGAGACAGGATTTAACATCTACCCATCTTTTTCCTTCTTATAGATCTAAATGCTAAAGAACCTTTTTTACATAAATAAGTACATGAGTATGAAAAGAATCCTGAAACTTCTTCTAAATTATGTGCCCAAATCACAGGAAGCCCTACCGTCAAGAAACATTGTTAATAATCTCATAATTGTAACCTACACTAGGCCTTCCTTAAAATATTTTTTAAGAACTGTATTAGAAATCAGTTGTCTTGTAAGAGTTTTTGTTAACCAGTATTTAAAATTAATTCTTTTTACCAACATCTAAAATTGTTCTTTGGTTGGGTTTGGTGGTTTTTATATTCCAGGGCAATGCACCATTGTAATATTGGAAATGGAAATGTTTTTTGTTTTTGTTTTTTCATGTAGGAGAAAAACAATTCTGGCAGGAGATAGCTTGACATCAGAGGCATAATCAAGTCAGGTTTTGAAATGATATGCGGAAATTCAAGAGTTAGATATTAATTCCCTTAAGATTACTTATGCTCTGTATACCATAGAAAATCATTATATAGCTCCTAAGTAGTTTACATGGTCCAACATAAAGACTGCTGGATTAGATGGTCCCAAAAATTCCTTCCAGCATCCTGATGCTAAATCCCAAGTAACATGATGTATTCTGGATTTTGTGGTAGCCATGGTGATGATGATGGGAAGTGAGAGACTTAATTCTGAAATTTTATTTTTTATTCCATGATATTGAAATAAAATGCCAAGGTGTTTTGATTTTTTATTCTTTTGGAACTTAAAGTTTCTAAACAGTGTGGGTATTGTCCAGAATGTGGAAAAGAAAAGGAAAATCAGACCAAATGCCAAAGTTGTGGTATTCTTTTTCCTAAGGATGTGCAAAGAAATTGCAGACAAGCTATAACTTTGAGTGAATCTACTGGACCATTATTAAGAACATCAATTCATCAGAATTCTGGAGGACAGAAGTCACAAAACACAGCATTATCATCCAAGAAGTTTTATGGCAACAGTCTGGGAAAGATTCCAGTTGATATTATTGTGAATTGTGATGATAGTAGACAGAATTATTTGCAGACTAATGGGAAAGTCATTTTACCTAGGGCAAAAGTAGCCAAACTCACAAACCTGAAAGAAAGGAAAACAAGCCTGTCAGACCTAAATGATCCAAGTAAGTATTTTACTCCCTTTAGTATTATTTATATCAATCCAGTTTTTTTTTTACATCTGTTTTTAATATGAGCATGAGCATATTTGAGAAGTATAGTTTTAATAGGTATTTCTTGTGTCAGTTATATGTTTTTTGGATAGATGATTAAAACTGTCCATGTAGTTGGAAAATAATAACTGACTTTGTTTTCTCCCCATTCATCTTAAATAGTGAGGGGAAAAAAAAAGTGCAGACCTTGGCCGCAGTCTTAGGTCAAGTGCCAGTTATGCCCAACTTTCTAACTTTGGCCCAGTTCATTTAATTTCTCTGATTTGTAAATGGATTATTTTCTGCTTGATAGTGTTTTTGAGGAACTAAATGAAATAACATATAAGGTGCATGGCCCAGTAAATAAAGCATTTGACATGTAGAAGGAACTAGTGAAAATTAGTTCTCTTACCACGTTTACTCTTCCCTTAAATCTTTTTTTTTTAAGTTTATTTATTTATTTTGAGAGAGAGAGAACAAATAGAGTAGGGACAGAGAGAGGTAGAATCCCAAGTAAGCCCCGTGCTGTCAGCATGGAGCCCGGCATGGGACTCCAACCCATGAAGTGTGAGATCATGACTTGAGCTGAAGTCAGATGCTCAACCGGCTGAACCACCCAGGCGTCCCATCTTCCCCTAAATCTTTTTCTTACCATTAGACATATGTGCATGTATGAAACGCAATATTGTTCGTAATAAATAGCTAACGATTAGAAACTATCAGGTAGTAGTTGAATAAAGTATAATGTACATAGCTGTAAGAAGAGAAAGCTCTTACTAATATTCTGTAGAGTGATTTTTTAAATCTTTAATAAGTGAATAAAGCAAGGTACAAATCACAGTAGATAATGTGCTGCCCTTTATTTGTGAAAGGTGGGAGAATGAATATAGGGATTTTTTTTTTTAATGGAAAGATACACTAAAAACTAATTTTAAAAATAGTTGATTAGAAAAGAAAAAACAGTGTAGGAATTAGAGATAGGTCCAAGATGTCTCCAAACATACCTTTTTCTGTAGATTTGACTTGAGAACCATGTAAATGTTTACATGATTATTAAACAAAATTAAATAGGAAATTAAAAAAAAATAAAAGCCAACATGAAACTGATAAACCTAATCATATATCTGGTTGGTGGCTTGAACACACAGAAGAATTATTTCAAATGAATTTAAATTAAAATAATATTGTGGCTATGCATTCCTAATATGATATATTTAAGGCCAAACAGAATTGCAAAGAAATCCTAAGTGCCTTTAGTAATATTGTTAATAATAATTGGTATTGCTATTTTTTGTATTGTTCTTTTTAAGCACATATATTGATAAAGCAAATAAGCAATTTTATTATCCCCAGAAAACATGATTTTCAGTGTTAGTGAAAAAGTAAAATCAAAGAAATAACAATCTCATCATTTTAAACTTCAACTGGAGACAATAGAGTGAAATTATTATACATATTCTCTTAAATAGAAATGAACAATCCTAGTTCCCATATTTGTGTTTTTGAATACTACTTCTCAGTAAAAATAAGTACAACTCCTCAGAGAAATGGCTGGCTCCAGGTCCAGAGCAGGAATGTATGAGATAAATCTAGAACATCTACTCATATCAGGAGGCATGGAAGCAGTCAGAAACTACTGTGGACATGTCAAAAGGACATAGGAGCTAAATTGAGAGGGCTCCTACTGACCAGTAATGGGACTATACGAGTCACAAAAGGTTTCATAACTGCTATTTATTGAAATACGTCAAATATATTAAAAATTTTTTTAGTTCATAATGATATACTCCCCCTAATCCCTCCAAAAGAAAAAAGGCTCTCCATTGGTTACCTTTGGGGGTTGCTTAGGTTCCAAATCATTACTCTGAAAACTGGTAAATGAAAGGGAGTAAAATAAAAAATTTTTTCTTAGATTTTTTTTAAATGTTTATTTATTTTTGAGAAAGAGAGAAAGAGTGGGAGTTTATTTTCCTGAAACTTCTCTTATGTCTTAGGTGGTCAAATAATAAAAATGTACAGTGTTTCAAGTAGTGGCGATAAATTCTATATAGAAAAGTGAAACAGGAAAAAAAAAAATGAAGCAGGTCCAGGGAATAGAGAGTGATAATTGTTAGATGACAAGATGAGGAAGGGTGCAATTTTAAATAGATGATAAAATAGGCACCTTTGATAAAGTAACTTTTGAACAGAGCCCAGAATGAACTAAGGAGAAAGACATGCTGATATATGTGGGAACAAGATTGGAATGTAAGTACAAAGACCCTATATTAGTCTGCTTGGGTTGCCATAACAGAATACCGTAAATTGAGTAGCTTAAACAACAGAAATTTATTGTCTCACAGTTCTGGAGGCTGGAAGTTCAAGATCAAGGTGCCGTCACTTTGTAGACAGCCGTCTCTTTACTGTGTCCTTATGTGGCTCTTCTTCTGCGCTTCCACAGAGAGACAAATCTTTTTTTCTTATAAGGACACCAGTCCTATTAGATTAAGGCCTCACCTTTATGAACTCATTTAACCTTTATTACCTTCTTATCAGTAATATTTCCAAAAAAAAAAGTCACAGTGAGGATTAGAGCTTTAACATACGAATTTTGAGGGGACACATTTCAGTCCATCATAGACCCTCTGCAGAATCTTCTATATTACGTAGAATTAATTCTATATACAGAATGAAATCAGCTATGAGAACAAGCTTTTTAAATATATGGTGTCTATGCACACTTCTCATTTGCTTTCGAATTATGGTGACATTGAGCACAATCCACATTTAAGTTAATAAAATGAGAGGTATGTAGTACAGTTCTATCTGTTGCAGCTTTGGGGCTTTTAAAGTAGATATAGATGTTTTAATGTTCCTAAAGCACAATACAAATAATTGTCAAAGAACAGTAGGATTCCCTTTTAATATTTATATTAATATATAATATATATTTGTGTATGGTTTTTCATAAATAAAGCAATTCGTGAATGTTTTTTAAAGCTTATAGCTTTGACGTATTAAATTATTTGGTCTCATAACAGGTCCTTTGAAATAAGGACCATTTTTGTCCCTAATTTCACAGAGAGGCAAATAGTAAGTTACAAAACCCTAACTTTCAGATATGTATAAATGTACTTAGATCTTCTAATCTGGCCCGTTAGATTTTCTGTTAATAAAATAACAGTTCTGAAAAAAATCCATCTTTAGCATTTGCTTCCAAAACTAGACAGCAAAATAAAAAAGACAGGTGGAGTGGTGATGGGAATGATGCCTCTCTGGGGCACGTATAGTATGTACACATTTGCATGTGGGATTCTAAAAAAGAATTGCTTCTGCAAGTTTATGTGTTCTTGCAGCACATGATTTTTGAATTGTTTTCTCTTCACCAGGCAGTTTTAGACTATGGGAATATAGAAGTGAACAAAGCAGTGATCCTATTCTCTAATAATTTATACGTAGTGGGGAGAGAGCAAGTAAACATCTATAACAAAAAACAGCAGAAAAATTTCTATCAGTTGTTGTGAATAAGCCAAGTACTTGTTTCCTTAGATTGGGTAATGAATCAAAAGGCTAATATTTAATGACCAAAATGCAAAGTGTTAAGGGAATTGCAATCCAGACAAAAGCTAGCTTGTGATGTTTGAGGAAGAGAATAAATGGATGATGTACTTGGAACATAAAGAGGGAAAAATGGAGCAGTATGAGAAAGTTGGAGAAGGAGGCAATGGCTAGATTATGTACCTTTATAAACCATAAAAGGGTTAGGATTTGACTCAAGTGCATTGTGGGTGGCTTGTGGGAATTACGATATAAAGGTGGGTTTGATCCAGTATCCTCATTCTACTCACGTAGAAGGTATAAGCGCAAATTCCCTTCATTAATGTCTTTTCATGTCCACATTCATTTATTTACTCCACAGAATTTACTGAGCAATTTGACACTGGTCCACATTCTTCCAAGGACCTACTATGATTTTAGTGATTTCCTATGTGAAATAAAATTATTTGGTCCCATGGAGTTCCACACACATTTATAATGCATACTATTTTGTGCACAGTTTCTATGCAGGTTATCTTCATACTTGAGACTTTCTAGAACTCTGAACTCTATGACAAATGGTTAAATTTTGCTGTAACTTGTGTGCATATTTTGTGTGGGTAATGGTAATGGACTATAGGATAATTTCACATTTGTATAGTCTATATAAAAAAAGATGCCAGTTCTTATTCTTTCTTTATTTTTAATTGTTTTCAAATTTAACTTTTAATCAGATAGAATGGAGTATATCTTCATTTGTTTTTATCAGTCTTAGTTCTAGAGGAGATCCAAAGCAAATTTGGTATATTTCCCATTAACTGACAGAAATGAAATACCTGAAGTATTTAACATTTTCTTTATAGTCATTTTGTCCAGTGATGATGATGATGACAATGACAGGACTAACAGAAGAGAAAGCATATCTCCTCAACCTGCTGATTCAGCATGTTCTTCCCCAGCACCATCCACTGGAAAAGTAGAAGCAGCACTAAACGAAAATATCTGTAGAGTAGAGCATGAACTAAGAAGCATTCCAGCAGATTCAGAGTTAAATACAGTTACATTGCCAAGAAAAGCAAGAATGAAAGACCAGGTACTTTTCACATTTATTGACCTTCACTCAGATTAACTCTCCCCTTTGGGATAAAAATTTTTTTTGGAGGGTTATTTGACAATGTCATAGGGAGAAAAAGACACATTATTTATTAAGTGGGGCTTAACGTACCGCTTGCAAGATTATTTAAAAGAATATTAAAACATATAAAAATAAGTTTCTATTAAAAGCTTAAAGAGTAAAAAATTCAACAAGAAAAAAAAATCAACCTTACAAGTGAAATATAAGTATAAACAAGTATACTTTTGTATAATGTAGTGGACAGGAAGATGTCATTTTAACTGGAGTGTATTATTCTAGGATACTGTTGTTTTGTTATGTTTTATTTTATATGTAATATATAAAAATTTCAAAATGTTCAGGTATCAAAAAATAACAGAAATTATGTCAATAAATAGATCTAGAAAGGAATGTTTGTACTTTGTAATCTAAAGAAAGGAAAAGACAAAGAGAAAATTCAGATAAAGTTAACACTCAGAATTAATACAAAATCAGTTAATATGGACTGCTGACTAGAATTCAAGGGAAAGCGTACTTTTCCAATTTGCAGATGGAAGACAAAGTTGTTGTAGCCTTTTGGGAAAGCAGTGTATCGCTTCTCAGGCTTTTGGCTAAGATCAAGTGGGGAAAGCGGTGTAAAAACATCTGTTAAGATTTTTTGAATGTGTATTGAATGCCTGACTGGAAATTCATTCTCTAGACTCAGTCTCAAAAGAAACTCCTCCCTGCAGAAAAAGAGTATGTAAGACCATATGTATAAACATGATTATTGACAAATAGATGCAAACATAATCATTGTCAATTAATGTGGAAATGGCTGAAAAACTTATGCTGTATCCATAATGTAGATTATTATGTAGCCATTGGCTGAAAATTAGAACTATATCAGTGGCTTTTATGATTTCTATGGTTCTGGTAGCTACCTACTAATATGAAGGCACAGAAATATATGCATATTTTCTTTTTTATAAAGTTTTTTAAGCTTTATTTTTTAAAAAATAAAAAACTTGTATGTTAAAAAATTACATGTGTGTGTGGCACCTGGGTGGCTCAGCTGGTTAACTGTCTCACTCTTTTTATTTTACTTATTTATTTTATTTAAAGAGAGAGAGTATACAAATGGAAGGGAAGGGCAGAGGGAGAGAGAGAGAATCCCAAGCAGGTGGAGTGGAATCCTCGGTGAGTGCGGAGCTGATGTGAGGCTTGATCCCATGACCCTGAGATCATGACCTAAGTTGATTATCAGGAGTCAGATGCTCACTGAATTGAGCTCCCCAGGCGCCCCATATGTCCTACACTTGATTTTGGCTTGGTCATGATCTCACGGTTCGTGAGATTGAGCCCTCCATTGGGGGACTGTCAGTGCAGAGCCTGCTTGGGATTCTCTCCCTCTCTCTCCTCCCCTCTCGTGTTTATATGCATGCAAACACTCTCTCTCTCTTTCTCAAAATAAACTTAAAAAATTATGTATGTGTGTAAATGTCAGGAATTGTTATCAGTATAGATAAAAATATGGAAACATATACTGGTTGTTAAAATGGAAAAACAAAGAATCATGATCATAGAAGAAATATAGACTAATAGTTTTAACATAATCTTGGGACTGCCTTTCTAAGTATTTCAGCCTAAGCAAAAACAGTAAAGAGATGAATACATACTAGTAAGTGAAAAGTACAGAACAGTGTACCAAAATATCATAAACTGAATTTGATGGGTAAATGTGAGTGGGGGAAAACTGAACTGTGTGACAAAGTGTGAGTTGGTCTTTTATATAGTTTTTTTTTTCTTAAAAAATTAAGAAATAAAAGCAATCCATGTAAAAACAAGTAAAGGAAATGAATAGAGTTTTTAAAATGCAGTGAAGTACTGAAAATGAAATTAGAATATATTTTGTTAACTGTCAGATGGTTGAAAAATTTTAAAGTATATAATAGTCTTTCATTTTGTTAGTGTTGAAGAAATGGAATGTTGGGTGTGTAAATTGGTATAACTATGCTGGAGGGTGATTTGACAATAGTTTTTTTTATACCTTTATTTAGCTGCAAAAATGCTGGGGGGAGAATAGCATTGTCATGTGGTAAGGTCAGAAAGAACTCACATGTCTAGCATAGGAGGGTTCAGTTAAATAAATAATGGATTTCCATATGATGAAGTTTGTGGATGAAGTTTTCAGACTGGCACAGTGAATAGTAAGGGTTCCTCAGTGTTCTTTTAGAGGCTCTCTGGGAGGATGTGGACCATGTACTTATAGATTCTGTCTCTCCACTTTGGATTCAACTGGAGCTGCTCTTAAATTATCTGTTTGATTATTAAACTAAATAACATTATATTTGAAGAAATAACTCTGAAACTAAAAAAGCTAACCTCTTTAATACATTTCTGTTAATAATTTGGGAAAATATTCATGATTAATCTATTAATGAACCTGAAAAATAAGTTTTCAGAAATAAACGTGTATGTGTGCATAATTGTAGAGATATAGATACATATATACATACATAATATTTTAATACATATTTTTTCCTATTCCATAGATTGTTGAAATGATTCTAGGAGAACAGTAGGAGAATAGTGCCTATCTCTGTGCAGTGGATTTTTTTTCTTGCTTTCTATCAAAATCATGTTTTATTCTTATAATGAAGTTTTTAGCATAACTTTAGTTTCCTTTAAATTATATACTTCTAAAACAGTATTTTATATTATGATTAATCTGCAGGTGTGACTGAAATTTTAACAAATGAGGTACTTTAACATTTTAAAATATGTTAAAAAAGAATCTTTCTGTAGTGTAAATAACCATTCCTCTAAATTATCTGATCTCTAAAGAATTTCTAGTTTAATCCAAATATTACAACCACCATCACTATTACTAGCTAACTTTTATCCAGCATTTTACTGTGCATGAAGCCCAGTGCTCAACTGCTTTTATACTTTAGCTCATTTGAATAGATACTCTTCATATTTTATAGTTTAGGAAATCAAAACTTAAGGATTTATTATTGTTTTAAAAATCAGATAATTACAAGGTGGTATAGCTATGATTTGGACCTAGGTAGTCAAATTCCCAAAGTACCATTTCTCAGTGATGTGCTATTACTGGAATTTCAAGTAATGACTAGGTGTAAAGTATAGCTGGACAGAATAGGAGGGATTTGTGTTATATGAAATCCGTAATCATTTGCATCCTCTGTTGAAGTAAAATCAGTTTTTTATGCTTTGATAATTATATTTGTTGTTGGGTCTTCTTTGCATATGTCTACTTAGTTTCAGCCTTGTTTTAGTTGCTCATAAAGTGAAATTTCTTTTTCTTTTTCAGTTTGGTAATTCTATTGTCACCACACCTCTAAAACGTCGTAAAGTGACATCTCAAGAAACTTTAGTTGATCCTGTATCTTTAAGCTGCCAAAGCTATGACAGTGTCATTTTAAACTGTCGAAGTATACGAGTGGGAACACTCTTCCGACTATTAATAGAACCTGTAATTGTAAGTAATTCTTAAGGTTTTTACTGTAACAATTATAAGACTCAAAATTCCATGGCTAAGGCTAATGTATAACATTTTTAAATTTATAAATTAAGATATTTAATAGAATATTAAAATTATTTCAAGATTTCAAATTGCTTTAGGAGTATATAGACCATTATAAACAGCTCCATACAGTAACAATCAGTGGGTAAAAACTTATAATGTAATGTTCAAGGTAGTGACATATCCATCATAGGAAGATACTTATTCTCACTGAGTTAGAAAACCAATATGTTATTGATTTATTTTCATGCCAGCTCAGTGCATGAAAAGAAAATTTTAAAGAACGATAATGAAAGAAAGAAGAATCCAGAAGCTTTAGGCTCTGTAGAAAAATGTCTTGCAACATTAAGACTCCTGGAAATAGATTATTGGAATATAATCACCACCTAAGAGGCACTGTGCTTTTGGGCTAGTTCAGTGTCCACAAAGCCCAAAGGTCTTTGTATATAGTTCCTTTATCTTACTTGTCATACCTATTATTCTGCTGCTACTGATTTAATTCAAATGTGTATTTTGTATTTGAAATTTTAATATAATATAACCAGCCTTCTTAACCATCATTTTTCTTCTTTCTAATGTATCCTGTATATTATTGGTAGATTAATCTTTCTATAGCATTACACTTAGTTTGTAAGTTTTTATTTTATAATTACTTAACTTGGCTTCCCCACCTGTCTGTTTCCATCAATTCTTTCAGACCTAGTCCCCTATTACTGTTCTTTATACATAAAGCATTGTCTTTAAGAAAACACATTATGTCACGTAAGGAAAGTTAAAAGGTAATTTTACTGTTGCTATTTAAATTGTAGTAAGTAATAGCTATTTATTTTTTAGGATTCATAGTTTCAGGATACAATATGACCAAAAAGAAAAAAATATATGTAGGTTAATATACGAGAAAATAAAATATGGACTTGATTTCTTATCAGAGCAAAGCTGTATATAAAACCTACATTTTTTTTTTTAATTTTTAATTTTGAGAGAGAGAGCATGCAAACAGGGGAGGGGCAGAGAGAGAGATTGGGATGGAGAGAATCACAAACAGGTTCCATACTATCAGCACAGATTCCAATGCTGGGCTGGAACTGTGAGAGCATGACCTGATCCAAAATTAAGAGTCAGTGCTTAACTGACTGAGTCACCCAGGTGCCCCACGTTTGTTTGTTTGTTTTTTAATAAAAAACTCCAGCTTCTCACCATTTAAAAACTAGAAGTACTCCAGATATTTAAAGCAAATTAAATATAGACTAGACTATCCATTATTACCCAATAACATTGAAACATATGTCAAGGTTGATTTATGAAATTTGTGTTTTGTTACAAGTCTTCATAGTACACATTATCTTTCCTGGTTTCTGTCAGTTAACAAATGTGTCATTCTAAGTCAAAATAGCTCAAAAAATCTCAGGGGTACCCTATATGTTTTCTGGCTTTTTTCCACATTAACACTGTTAATCAGAACTTTTCAATATGATAATTAAGGCTTTGCTGGCAATTTAGACATTTGGTTGAAAGTTGTATATTTGGTCTCAAGGCTAGCTATCAAGAACTTCATTAGGGGGCCTGGCTGGCTCAGTCAGTAGGGCGTGGGACTCTTGATCTCCGGGTTGTGAGTTTGAGCCCCACATGGGATACAGAGATTACTTTTTTTAAAAAAAAACTACATTACACTAAAATCAGAATGAACGTTTTTTATATGAAAGTTATAGATTAGTTTATATGTGATCTAGTGAAGAAAACTAACTTCATGGATTTACTTTAAGAAAGAAAAGGCAGTATATGTAATATAAAATGTGTTCATACAGGTTTTTTCTTTAAATGCTTAAGTGATATTTCAGCCAAAAAGTTGTGCTTAAAATGTGGAATTTTGGGGCGCCTGGGTGGCTTAGTCGGTTAAGTGTCCGACTTTCACTTAGGTCATGATCTCGCAGTTTGTGGGTTCGAGCCCCACGTCAGGCTCTGTGCTGACTGCCAGCTCAGAGCCTGGAGCCTGTTTCAGTCTGTGACTCACTCTCTCTCTGGCCCTTCCCTGCTCATGCTGTCTCTCTCTCTCTCTCTCTCCTAGAAATAAATAAAAAACATTTTAAAAAAATAAAATAAAATGTGGAATTTTGCGGTCTGTGGTGTTAACTTTCCTTGTACCATGGGATTTTTCCAAAGAACATTCTTTGCTGAAGTATAATTAATCTGTAATTTCTTCAGATAATGTATTAAAGATAATTTGACATTTTCTTCTTGAATATAATCGCTTTATATTTTATAGTGAAGTGATTTATCTTCCATGTCGTCATTAGTCATGTTTTATTATAATTTTTTTATCAAAGCTCACTAGTATTGGATAATTTAATTATTTTAAATTCATTCAGTGTAAGAATTGATACTATCTAGAAATGCCCCAGCTTTAAATCTTTATTTTATCTTAATTTTAAGTAATCTGTCTATGCCTGTTGTGGGGCTTGAACTACAACACTGAGAATAAGGAGTCATATGCTCTACCAACTGAGCCAGCCAGATACCCTTAGAAGTGACAATTTTATTCGAAAGTAAATACTTTTAATGTACAGGAAAATGGCTTACATTATTAGGAATAGCATTTACACCCAAATATAATACAATCCCTCATTTTTCCAGTGAGAAGATATAAAATCAAGGTTTTCAGCTACTTAAATTTAGAAACTCATAGATATGATGGGGAAGTAGCCCAGTGTCTACTTGTAATTTAGTTACATACAAGTTTTAAATGACAGATACTTAGATATGCTTCTTTCTACTCTTATATCTCATAAAACAATTTTTTTCAAATGCTTCTACATTAGTGTTTTCTATCATCTTTATTGCCACTTTTTGAGTCATGTTACATACTTTTTAAAGTATGTAACTTCAGCTTCTATATATGTTGGAATGTTTCCTGAGCTACAAGCAAGCATTCCTGGTGCCCCCATTTATCATATTACCTACATAGTCTTTAGAAGGTATATTTAGTGACATTCTAGACTTAGTAATTGTTGTAATAGTTACTAAATTTATATTTCTTTGCTTCCTTTTCTTCATTGTGAAAATTTTAATTTAGTTTTTAAAAATGTTAATTTATTTTGAAAAAGAGAGAGAAGGAGAACAATTATCCCAAGCAGGCCTCACACCATCAGTGCAGAGCCCTATGTGGGGCTCGATCTCATTATCCATGAGATCGTAACCTGTGCCAAAATCTAATGTCCAATACCTAACCAACTGAGCCATTCAGGAGCTCGTCTACATTGTGAAAACTTTTGAACAGAAGAGTTGAAATACTTTTACAGTGAATGCTCATAAAACTCCCAGCTAGATTCTGCCATGAACATTTTACTAATAAACTTGCTTTTCATGTATCTGTTCATTCTTTTGTATATCATTCCAACTTACTTATTTATAAGAAGGCTCCATCCCAAATGTGGGGCTTGAACTCATGACCCTGAGATCAAGAGTTGCATGCTCTACCACCTGAGCCAGGTGTCTTCCAACTTATTTTTAAATGCATTTTTAAGTTCTTGTCTGCCTTTTTCATACTCTTAATGATAACACAGGAAATGAGTATTAAGTGAGGATATATTAACTTAGTATGTTGTCTCCATGTTAAAATGATTAGCAAATAACCTTTTTATAACTACCAATAATAACTGAGGCAAAATCTTCAGTAGATGCTAAAACTATTGGCAGAAAGGTTATTAGGGAACAAGATATTCATAAGCTTTCAAGCATCTCTCCACAGATTATTACTTAATTACTGAGGGAAAAATATATCATTACAGTGGAAAGACCTGACACACTGCCTTTGCCAAGTGATTAAGCTTGTTATTAGTAATCGGATAGCCTGACATCCTGTGTCTTCCAGTGTGATGTAGTAGGAGGTATAAGACATTACCTATGTGCTATATTTGCTGGAAATGCATGGCCCGAATTTTAAGTTGAGGAAACACAAGTTCAAGATGTTGTATATTTTGTAGAACCTAGCCTGGATTCTTCAAAGGTCATGTCATGAGGAACAGAGGGTGTCATATTTCTGGTCTAGACTAAGGTAGACAAAAGAGACAAATTTAACTTTGACAGAATTATGGATTGGGGAAGTTAAAACACAAAAAAGGAAAATTTGGAACAGTTGGGAAAATTGGAGTAAGAAATATATGTTGGATGTAGTTAATCTTGATTTTCTTTGGTGTGGTAATGCTGTTTTGGTTGTATAGGAGACTGTCCTTGTTCTTGGGAGATATATGCTGGAGGACTTGGGGAGGGAATGTCACGGTGCCCTCTGCTTGCTTTATGCTGGTTTAGCCAAAGGGAGTATATGTACATAGAGTGACTGGGGATAGGTGTGGCAAAATTTTAACAGTTGGTGAATCTAGGTAAAGGGTATTCAGGTGTTCATTGTAATATTCTGTCAACGTCTCTTTGAAGTTCTAAGAAATAAACCAATAGAAGAAACGTTCTAAGTATTTGAATAAAAAGGCTTGCCTTTCTGAAGGATAATTTGTAATAGGGAGGATATCTCACATTTAAGTACATGGTAGATGGCTTTGTTTTTCTGCTTTCGATAGTCTAAGTCTCAAATAACAATATGTCACTTAGGGTATTTGTAGCAAAATCTTCCTAAGTTTATGATTGGTACTAATGTATCTATCTTATTTTTTAGTTTTGTTTAGATTTTATCAAGATACAGCTAGAAGGTAAGCTATTTTTTGTCTTTTTACTCACTAAAGCTTTGTTTACAATAAAAACACTTCACAGGAATAAAATATTAAATGATATTCATGAAGGTGAATTTGTTTTTACATGTTTTCTTAGCAAAAGGCATGTTTCTCAATAGTGTATTTCCTCCATTCATGATTTTAAGAATTGATTCCTTTTCTATTTCCATTTATTTTCCTCCAGAACCAGAAAATGATCCTGTAGGGATTACTTTAAATACCTCTGATCTAACTAAATGTGAATGGTGTAATGTCCGAAAATTACCAGTCGTATTTCTTCAGACGATACCAGCAGTTTATCAAAAGCTGAGCATGCAACTGCAAATGAATATGGAGGATAAAGTTTGGAATGATTCCAAGGGGATAAATAAATTAACAAGTAAGTTTTGTGGTACACATTATAATAATATAGTGTGAGAGCACTTGAATAGATGTCTTAGATGTATATTATCTACAATCCTTTCAGTGATCTTGAAAGATCTATATTACTTCTCCCATTTTATAAATGAGGAAAAAAGCCCACAGAAAGAGGAAGTTCTAAAGATAAAACCCAGGTTTACCCATTTAGGTTTTCAAAATGGGTTAAAACTCAAAAAAAAAAACAAAACAAAACAAACCCTACATTCCTTATTTTAAAACCAGAATCTGAGTAAAATGAAAAGAATTTCATGCACTGGTAGGAGTGCTAAATTTAAATCAGCCATATAATTCTGGAATCTTTGAAACATCCTGAATAGGAAGTTTGCAGCTTCTTAGAATGGGTCTTCATTCTCTGCAATAATAGATGTAATTTTCCAGTTTGTATCCCTTCACCTCTAAGAGTTAGGACATAGGATGACTAATTGTAAGGTAAATACTTTTCAGCAGTAACTGCTGCTTCATCTTAATGATGAATAAATCATAGCTACTATTAAAGCTATAAGAATTGATATATTAGTGAATAGTAGGTTTTTGCAGTTAAATTCTCTAGAGATACTAATAGTGCACCTGGCCATTTTGTGCACTTATTTGTGTTTGACAAAAATGTTAACTGAAATATATTTAAAACTTAATATATTTGGATCCTATTAGATGAAGTAAATTAGTTACATCCGTGAAGAGCTCTGCTCTTAAGCTTGCTGCTAGGGTCATGTGTCCTGGTTCCTTTTAATAACTTTTAGGTGACATTGTTAGATGACACTGTCATTGGTCTTTATTTCAGTATTTATTACATGTCCACTGTATACCAAACAGTATTTTAAACATTTGCACGAGGATTTCTAGTGATATCCTTGGAAATAACTAGTTGTTACTCTTTTTCTAATATCGACCTATTTTTTTCTTTCAGACTTAAAGTTACATTTTTTTTTTCAGATTTGGAAGAACAATACATAATTTTAATATTTCAAAACGGCCTTGATCCTCAGGCAAATCTGGTATTTGAAAGTATCATTACTGACATTGGTATAAAGAATAATGTGTCCAATTTTTTCGCGAAAATTCCTTTTGAAGAAGCCAATAGCAGACTTGTTGCTTGTACAAGAACCTATGAAGAGAGCATCAAAGGAAATTGTGGGCAAAAAGAAAACAAAATTAAAAATGTAATTATGTTTTTTAGTTTTTTAATGCAATTTAAAGTAATGTGTAGCTTTATTTTTTATTTTTTTTTTTTTTTAGTAATGTGTAGCTTTAAAGGGAAATGTGTTTCATTATCTATCATACTGCCCATTTTGGAGTTATATCTTTTTAATTCTATTTCAGAATTACTTGCTTTTATATGTGATTTATAAACTATGTTATGTCAGAACATTAGTGGTAGGTAGGTGAATTGGGACACAAATAGTACTTGGTACAGGTCTCAGAAGTATTTCTAGCTCCTCTCCACACTGTATTATCTTTTCATCTTGTCTTTTTCCTTTATCTTTCTTTCTTTTTACCCCAGTCTAAATATACATGTTCATATACTGCTACATTCAAATTAATCGTTACTCTTAAATTTGCTAGTGATTCCCAGTGATGTACTGGATTCAGTACAAATATAGGAATTTTGGTCCTTGATGTACATTTATATGTACCATGCGCACACATGATTGAACATTTGAGAACCAAAGAATACATACCATTTGACTGTGACTGTCAACATATATATCCCATTCTAGAATAACTAATCATATAGTAGGTAATTCTGAAGCCACCTGAACCAAAGGCTGTATACTATCATAACACATAGTATAGTGTTAAATAATAAAAATTTGTCCCCTTATCCTGCAACTGAATTTTACTGACTTAATTTATTAGAAATATTTAAAATCTTCCAACCTACTACAGATTGGAAATAGGGCTATCCAAGGCACAATCTTGGTGAAGTTGAGCAAGGTCTCACCAGAGAAGAGCTGTTTACATGGTAAGTGGGTTGAGGAAGAGAACAGAAGGAAGGGGGATCATTCTGCTTCTTTTGTAAAACTTGCTATAAGAGATTATTAACGAGGAAGAAAAGAGCAACTGGAGCCGTAGGCAGCTGCAGTAGACTGAAATTTCAGTGCAGGGTTCTTTAAGGACTTCTTTATTCTGGGGAACTGAAGCTCGTTGGACTGCCATCCCTGAGCCTCTCCTCCCAGTCCCATGGATTGCCTAGCCATTGAACTTAGATAGGCCTCCACTCTCAGAGGAAAAGACCATTATATTTGTTCTTTGGATTTACAGACATAATCTAAATAAGGATGATAGAGATCTTAGATAAGATACCACTTCAATTTTAATTGAAAAGTATTCTTGCCTTGTGCTTGGGTGGGTTTTTTTGTTTGTTTGTTTTTTTAGTGAAACATTTCTCAATTGACTTTGTAAACTGATCATTTCCTTTACTAGGTATCCCTTGAATCTAAAATACAACTTAAAAACAAACAAGAATTCCAGTTTTTTGATGATGAGGAAGAAACTGGAGAGAATCATACCATCTTCATGGGCCCTGTAGAAAAGTGAGAGTATTTATTTACATTTGCAATGCTTTTAAATTTCTTTTCTGATTTATTAAGTTTCAATTCTATACATGCGCGCACACACACACACACACACACATATATATGTTCATTTGCTTGTGTTTTTTTGTTTGTTTTACTTTGTTACAGATTGATAGTATATCCACCACCTCCAGCTAAGGGAGGCATCTCCGTTACTAATGAGGACCTACACTGTCTAAGTGAAGGAGAATTTTTAAATGATGTTATTATAGACTTTTATTTGAAGTAAGTTAATTTTCTACTTTCTTTTAGCACATCTTTAACATTCTGTAATGTATATTTTTGTTTTCTAGAGTCAAAACTGTTTTGAGTTTTGAATTCCATCACTACGACTTATGTGACATTTGGGAAATTATTTAATGCCCCACTTGTGTGTTTTCTCATTTAAAAAAATGAGAATAATATCTAAAGGGTATGAAAATTAATACATGTCAAGCACTAGGAAAATACTTAGCATATACAGCATGTTCATTAATGCTAGATTATTGTATTAATTGTTATACTGCCTCAGGCCTTTAAAAAATTGTTACTACCCTAGATTAGGTAATAAATTGTGTGTAAGCACAAAAGTATGATATTTTACTTGGTATGTCATCAACTGCCAGCTGTGTGCCACATACTGTGTTAGAAGTTTATGGTCTTGTAAGGAACAGAAATATGGGATTAAAGCTTTGACAGAAGCATTTACATGGTATGACTACAGCAGCAAATGAATGTTTCATTCTCTTCATGGGTAGGGAATATGAGGGACCAAAAAGCTTTCCTGGAAGAGCTTACATCATGACCCAGTATATACATGCTTATACATGTGTGTGCAGTGTTTCTTTGTGTTTAAGTTTGTATGTGTTTACTGGTTTGTGATATAAAATGAGTGTGTATATGAAACAAAATAGAACTTACCGATCAGTATATCTAGCACTTGCCAATATTTTCTAGTTTATTCGGGGCACCTGGGTGGCTCAGTCGGTTAAGCATTGACTCTTGATTTCATCTTAGGTCATGATCTCACTGTTCATGAGTTCAAGCCCCCAAGTCAGGCTTTCAAAATAAATAAACTTAAAAAATATATTTTTCTAGTTTATTCAAATGTATTTCATAAAACAATGTATTTTTTAAAGAACTGGTTGTTGAAAGCTGCTGAATTGGTATTATAGCCTATTCATGGTTGCAGCCAACAGTTTGGGACAAGAAATCATTGTTTCAATGTTTGTTTATTTATTTATTTTTTTTAATTTCTGAGAGAGAGAGACAGCATGAGCAGAGGAGGGCCAGAGAGAAAGGGGGATACAAAATCTGAAACACTCTTCAGACTCTGAGCTAGCTGTCAGCACAGAGCCTCGAACCCACCAACCGTGAGATCATGACCTGAGCTGAAGTCAGACGCCTAACTGACTGAGCCACTCAGGTGCCCCAAGAAATCATTGTTTTAAAGAGTGAAAGGTTTTGATCAGAGAAGTGATATTATAATTGAGCTTCCTTCAGATCATTTTGGCAAGAATGTTCACTGTGGTTGTGTAGTTGAGAGATGATTTAAGGTGCTATAAGAAGCCTGATTACGGCATTTTATTTGGAGTGAAGAATAAAATGTTTTTTAGGAGGTAGAGTTGCTTAACAACTGATTGAATGGATATTAAGAAGGAGAGTATTGGATGGCAGATAACTCCTAGCTTTCTGACTAATGAGAACTGCTAAATGATTTTGTTACTACGTGTGAGGCAATGAATGCAAAAACAGAACAGATTTGGGTGGAGGACAAGATGAGTTTCCTTTTAGATGTCTTTGATAATAACAGAAGGGACAGTGCCAATAAGCAGTTGAATATTTGGCTCTGGAGGTCATTTGTGTTCTGGCCTGGAGACGTATAGTTAGGAGGCTTTATTTTGCAAATGGTAGTTTAATTATGAGAATGGGTGAAATTGCTTAGGTAGAAATATAGAATGAGAAAACGGGCTGTAAGGACAGAATTTGGAGAGTTAATGAGAGACAGGGAAGAATCATTCTCTTGAATAAATTCTGAAGGATCTGATAGGTAAGAAGAAAAATCTGGAGAGAGTTATGTCATGAAATTGAGGGGAAGTGAAGGCTTTAAATAAGGATACATTTAATGGTGTCAGTGCAGCAGACTTCAAGGTAGATAAGGGCTAAAAGTAACTTTAAGGTCATAGTGACCTTGGGCTAATCAGGGTCAAATATAGAGCTGGACCTGCACCCTGGTCCCTGGGGGATAATGAGGTACTATATTCTCTCCCTTTTCAGGACAGGTGGTATCACTGGAGGCCTAGTGGGGAGTCTCTCATCCCTTACTTATCAGTAACATAGAGCCCCTCCACCTCTAATAACAATGGTGGCCTAGTAGAGAACTTGAATTTCCACGTCCACCTGGTGGAATTACCCACATCAGGCTCCAGTATGGAGCCCACTGCATCCATTGAAAGGCAGTGCCCAGGAAGGCCTACTAAAGCACAAAAATTACTTATCAAGAAAGATACAGATCTCAAACTGAATGAGAAATCAACACCAAGATGGCATAGATATTAGAATTATGACAGGGGCACCTGGGTGGCTCAGTAGGTTAAGTGTCTGAGTCTTGATTTCGGCTCACATCATGATCTCTCTGTGGGTTCAAGCCCTGCATCAGGGTCTGCTCTGACAGTACAGAGCCTGCTTGGGATTCTCTTCCTCTCTCTCTGCCCCTCCCCTGCTCTCTCTTTTCCTCTCAAAAATAAATAAACTAAAAAAATAAATAAATGATAGATTTTAAAGCATCCATTATAAAAATTCTTTAATGAACAATTATGAACATACATGAAACTTAGAAAAAGTTGATGTAAAGAAGAAAGAAATGGAAATTTTAGAACTAAAATTATAGTAACAAAAACTTTGATGGGCTCAATAGCAAAATAAAGAAGACAGGAAAGAATCAGTGATCTAGAAGAAAGAGCCTATTATTAACTATATTCAATTTAAGTGCACTATTTATTTCAGTTAAAAGACCAAGATCAGCAGAGAGTGGATTAAACACCATAGCCCAACTATGTCCTGTTTACAAAAAAGTGACTTCAAAGATAATAATATATGTAAGTTGAAAGTTAAAGGATGAAAAAAGATACGCCATGCAAATATTAAAGCAGGAGTTAACTATGTTATCATCAGAAAAATAAGAGGTGCCTCTGTGGCTCAGTTTGTTGAGTGTCTGACTCCTGATTTTGGTTTGAGTCATGATCTCATGGTTTGTGGGTTCAAGCCCCACATCAGGCTCTGTACTGACAGTGTGGAGCATGCTTGGGATTTTGTCTCTCTTCCTCCACTCGCAGGCTTTCTCTCTTTCTCTCTCTCTCTTTCTCTAAATAAATAAATAAAAATAAATAAATATGCTTAAGAACCAAAACAACTATCAGGGCTAAGAGAGACACTATACAATGGTAGGTGAGTCTACCAAGAAGACGTAGCAATCCTAAATGGGTGCGTACCATACAACAGAGCTACAAAATATGTGAAACAAAAACAGACTGATCTAAAAAGACAGACACATCTATGAATATAGCTAGAGACTTTAATTTCCCTCTGTCTACAATTGATATAACAACTAAACAAAACTGACAGTAACAGCATTGTCAACCATCAGGATATTATACTTAACATCAGAGGATAATATTATATTCCTATTATGTTAACTATATACCATTTTCAAAGGTACTGTTTTTCCTTTTGAAGATTTAAATGGTAATGGAATATGTTTCAGTAAGTTAGAAAATGTATCATAGATTTGCTAGCAAGAGAAACTACCCAAGATTTTAAATGCTTAACTTTGCAGATGTTAAGACTCCTCTGAGACCTCTAACAAACGCATTTGAGTTCAGAGTTCTTCCTAGCTAGGTCAAAAGATGTTATCTCCTACAGATGACCAACAATTAAAAAAAAAAAATTCTCAATATTATCTATCAGAGAAATATAAGTCACACCCACAATGAGTTATTATCTCATACCCATTAGGATGGCTCCCATAAAAAAAAGAAAAAAATAAGTGTTGCCCATTATGTGGACAAATTGGAATCCTTGTACACTGCTGGTAGGAATGTAAAATAGTAGAGCCACTGAGGAAAACAGTAGGGTGGCTCCTCAAAAATTGAAAATAGAACTACCCTATGATCCAGCAATCCCACTTCTGGGTATATATCCAAAAGAATTGAAAGAATTTGCACACCCATGTTCACAGTAGCTAAGAGGGGGAAGCAACTCATACGTCATTGATGTATGAGTGGATAAAATGTGATAGATCAATAGAGTAGAATATTACTCAGTTCTTAAAAGGAAGGAAATCTGTCACATGCTATCACATGGATGAATCTGGAAGACATGTAAAGTGAAATAAGCCAATCACAAAAACAAGTACTGTATGATTCCACTTATATTAGGTATCTGAAATAGATTTATAGGAAAGAATATAAATGGTGGTTATCAGAAGATGAGGGGAATTGTTTAATGAGTATAGAATTTCTGTTTTGTAAGATAAAGTTCTGGAGATTTGTTTCACAACCATGTGAATATACTTAACACTATTGAATTATACACTTAAAAATTGTTAAGATTGAGGGGTGCCTGGCTCACCTGATGGATCATGTAACTCATGATCTTGGAGTTGTGAGTTTAAGTCTCCTGTTTAAAAAATTGTTAAGATTGTAAATTTCATGTTTGCATTTTTTATAATTTTTTTAAAGGTGTTCTCTCTTAATTCTAATGTATACTACCTTAAGACACCAAGCCAAAAATCTTAATGTGCAGAACAATACCACTGTTCTTGGATGAAGTGTTGGTCTGTGAGTGTCAATTAGGTAAAGCTGTTTGATGGTGCTATTTGGGTCATCTGATTTTCTGCCTACTTGTTTTATCAATTATTGAGAAGGTTGTGGGTCTCCAAGTATAATAATGGATATGTCTGTTTTTCCTTATGATTTCACTCCTGTGTGTCATTTAAGGAACAAGACAAACTGAAAATAAGAGACACCCGCCCCTGACTTTTAAATACAGAGAACAAACTAGTGGTTGCCAGAGGAGAGGTTGATGGGGGGGAAGGGGAGAAACAGGTGAAATAGATAATGGAGATTAAGAGTACATATATCTTGATAAGCACTGAGTAATGTATAGAATTGTTGAACCATTATGTTATACATCTGTTCATTTTTGCCTTATATATTTTGAACATTTGTTGTTAGGTGCGTACACAG